GGTCATTACTGTGTGTAAAATCCTTTGTACCTGACGATTTCGATTAATATACAATCGTGTGCATTTGGATCGATATTGCTTCTTCTTCATCTTCTTCTTGATTCAATCTAATTTGATTCATTGATATTATTTGATCACTATTGGTTCATTATTTGAGGACTTAATATATATATATATATATATATATATATATATATATTATATTATATATATATATATATATATATATATATATACTCACTGCTCGATACTTGTTCGACCGACTGACGAATAGGGAGTACTTAGATTTGGTAATTCACGTAGAAATATTTTTAAGGAATTTATATATGTCAAAATCATAAATTAAAATCATTGACTGAAGTATATACATCAAATTTAGATATATTTGAATACACAAAAATTGAAAAACACACAATAGTCTCACTTCGTGAATAATTACTGAAAATTTAAGATATATATATATATATATATATATATATATTATATATATATATATATATATATATATATATATATATATATATATATATATATATATATATATATATATGTGATCACGCAATAGTGCAATATAAAAAGTTTTTGGTTAACATGTTGTTGCAAATTGTTAATTTGGAAAAAATTAAAACATTTCACTTTAAAAACAGTAAAGAAATTGTTATTTTTATGTCATTTAAATAGAATAAGAAACTTCGATTTACAAATTAAGAAAAAAATTTTAAAAAGGAGTTAACGGTCGCAACTTGAAGATTATTATTATGAGATGGTGATAATGTTATAATAAGAATTAAGAAATATATATATATATATATATATATATATTATATATATATATATATATATATATATATATATATATATATATATATATATATATTCAAAATAGGGAGAAAAATAAATGACAGAATTTGCCACCCACCCCCCTTGACTCTTCTTGGAAAATCTTGAAATTTTGACTTTTGACCCACTACTTTTCTTATCTTGGCTGGCTACCCTCCAATTGCCTCTTCTATTCCCAACCCTAACCCCACCCCCACCCCACGCATTACTTTTCGTTGTCCTAATTCCCTTCATAATCACTATCATTTTCATGTTTTGTGTTACATAAAATTCAAGATGCTATTATTTATAAAGAAAATAACTTGGGAGGGTAATTATATTTTTGTTTTGTTTATGTTTAGACAATTTATTATTATTATTATTATTATTATTATTATTATTACTTTTGTTTTGTTTATATAATATGTAAACATATTTAACTTGTTAAATGATCAAACATATAAAAAAGAGTTGTTTAAATATAAGTATTTTTTTTTTCAAATTTCTTAAGATTTGTTATATTTTCTTACAATATTTTTTATGATATTTTTTCCTTTAGTTTTTCTAATACAATGTTTTAAACTTTAATATATATATATATATATATATTATATATATATATATATATATATATATATATATATATATATATATATATATATATATATATATATATATATATATAAAACTTTTTTATACATTTAATTTTAAAATAAATACTTTTAAACCAAATATTTTATAAATGTTCTAAATTTTTCTTACAAGTTTTTAACTTTTTTGTTTTTTTTTTTTCATACAATTTTTTTTATAACTTTCAAACATTTATTTCTAAGTTTTCTTTTACAACATTTTTAAAATGTTTCATAGATTTTGTATGATAATTTATTATTTTTTTATAACATTTTAAACTACTATCATTAAATACTAGGTTAAAATGTTGTATTAAAAAAATTGAAAGCTTGTAAATTTCTAATAAAAAGTATTAAAAAGTTGTAATAATTTTAAAACATTTACATTCTATAGATTTTTTTTTATTTGCTATGTAATATATATATATATATATATATTATTATATATATATATATATATATATATATATATATATATATATATATATATATATATATATAACAAAATCCTCCACACTTATTCTTACTTATTTAATTTATTTAAATTTATTGGTAAATACTATTTACTTTAAAAATATTGTACAAACAAATGTAAGAGCCTTTGTAAAATATTTCACAAAACAAAAACATATTTATTAATTAAAAATCAAAGTTTATAATTTCTCAATATTTAATTAATATTTAGTAAATTATAGATATTTTAACAATAACGTTTGAAAAAAATAATACAAACAAATATGAAATATAAAATTGTTGTTAAAAGTGGAGAAAATGATTCATCGGAGTAATTAACTTTTCGTTTTCTTCACATTTAGACAATTTTCTTTTTTTGTACACATTAAACTTTTAACTTGTTAATTTGTTCATATATTACCATTATCACATGCTATAGCTGGTGAGAATTGCAATATGTGAACACATATAATAAGGTAAATGGTCAAATGTGCACAAAAATAAAAAAGTTGTCTAAATGTGAATAAAGCGACAAAGATGATTGCCTTGGAAAATTATTTTCCCTTATTTGTTTCCTATTTGCTTTTTAACTTTTTAGTAATTTCTTTCAAGTAAATTATCATAAAACTTCTTTTCTTATATATTTAATTCTAAATTTTTTAGTTAATACATCTTAATTATCATCGTACAACGAACGAGAAGGAAAACGAGCAACAAGTTGCGCCGCCAAGCCTTTTTGTATGGTAAAGTCAATTCTTTTGAAGACTATATCCATAAATCTAGAGATTATAACATTGCCATGCTGTATCCATTGTACTCTACAAAGAAGTTCCACCACATTTGGCGTAAGAAAACCAAACGTATCAAATGCAAATGATATGAACACGTGCTGATTTCCCATGCATGATTTCTCATGTTTTGGGACCTTGCATATAGTAGCTTTTAATGCAGCCTGTCCCGCCATGAAACCCCTAAACCTTAAGCCTACGAGAGGTGATACCCCTGTAAGGTCCATACATGCGTGTTCCCCTCTAACCCCGCTAAAAATCAAAACATCAACTGGTTTAAGGGTTGACCTTCCTTATTTTGGGCTAGTCAGGAAATTCACAAGAGCCTCTTTCTTGGTGGAAACCCAGATACACTTAAATATGTCGATGAAAACATCCTTAACCATATTGTACCTATATTTGAACCCCACGAGTTCTTTGCAATGAACTACATGCTCTCCACAAGAGTCTAAACATGCCTTCCGACACACCAAACATATATCGGTGACTGTGAATATTGGAATCATGAGTCGATATTTGAAGACGGTACGATAGTCCACAGGAGACATATATATGCCCATATCCTTCTATATGGATAGATAGAAGAAAATCTTGAGCATGCGGTGCACGTAAACACTAGAAACTTACTTTTCTGCCGAGCCGTCATGTTGAAAATGCACTTCCATATCTTGGAATATTTTACTAAAAAGGGCACTCACCAGTGTATTCTGGGATTTAGGGGGGTGTCCTTAGTAGTAAAAGTGCTAAGGTCAATGTCTGAAAGCTTGTTATGAAGAGAAACTAAGGCACAAAAATAATCAGAATCCATACCATAAATGTTGTTATTCCGTACGATATGGTCTTGCAATACCCAAGATTGGGTCCTTGAGGCAACAAAAGCATATGAGGTAGACTCGTTATGTCATATATAATAGTTATGTATGCTATATGTATGTTGATAGGAGAGTTGGTAGGTCGACACTAGAGACGAGGACATTGTGTGGATGCATTGTACATATGATGGAATATGCACTATACTGGAGAACTTAGTAAGCTTATGATTACAGTTATGGATAAAATGTTTCACAGGTTGTTCGTGAGAAGAGCTTGGCGGGACTGTACATACACATCGAAGATATTGATTTCCGATGTCTTTGTAATTCGACTCTGATAACCTTATAGTTTCAAATAAATAAATTTCACCTATTATTTTTAAGTTAAAGGTTCTCATAAGCTAATCTATTTCTTAAATAAAAAATCTCTAGATAATTTTATGATGCTACAAGTTGGTATTAAAGCCTTAATTTTGAGGTATTAGGCATGCCTTACGGTGTGTCTGAACTCAAATCGACAACTGAGATATTTTCTAAACTAAGTTTTTGATGGATAATGTTTTACTCAAGGAAACTTAAGAAAATAGTTGAATCATAAACATGAGCTTGTTTTTTTTCCATGTTCTTGTTTGAATGTTGGCTTGAGATCGTGAACATGGTTTCCTGATTTAGCTTCGAGTTATAAAAGAAGGATGTGATGCATACAGTCTGACGGAGATCAGGAAGTAAGTGATTCCTAATATACCTATATGGCTATGTAGTTGTGTTATGGATTGTTAAGCATGCTAGATTGTAGGATATGGATATGTTTAGGAATTTCATGCTAGAATGATATAATTTTTATAGATGCATTGTATGCCTTATGTGCTAATTACAATATGTGTGTTGGAATCTTTGTTTGATACTGTTGATTTGTTAATTGGATGCCATAAGGGTTGTGTATAGCTGGAATCTTATAGACTTAGAATTCCTATTCTGACCTTATTACTTGTTCGGCTTGCGGGTTTGCAGGAATGGAAGTGTTCTAAGGAGAGAGAGAGAGAGAGAGAGAGAGAGAGAGAGTCTATGAAGTATAGTCTTATGCTTATGTCTAGAAGTATGCATGCCTTTAAAGAGTTTAGTGGAGTGACATGAAGTGACTTGGGAGTCTTGGAACAATCCTTGGAACAAGTGTGGATATGTGTGGAAGGTAGTATTGGGCCCATACTATAGAAAGCACTAGTTCCATACGTGGGTTAAGGAAGTGTTAAGGATGGTCACCTTTCATGTTGGAGATTTAGATCTAAGTGAGAGGGATGTCCACGAAATCATCGTTGCAGAGGTTTTGAGGATCATGAGAGAGGATTTTCTTGTGATGATCAACATGATCAAGAATAAGCTAATTTTATTGTTGGGCAAGCACCTTAGGATTATACGAGCCGAGTTGGAGGCCGTTGTGCGATGGGCTTCTGAGGTTATCTTCAGGGAGTTTGGTGCTTGTAGGGCTCTGCAGTTCATCGGAACAAGGGTGCTAATCATCAGTATGCATTGGATCATCGATATAGAGAGTGACTTTCTCCCTAAATTTTATACGACATAGGACAAGGTCAGGTTTGCACCGTGTATACTGCATGATGGAGTTACATATTAGTGACGCGAGGTTGCTTAGGGCCTGGAACCAGGTGCGGTGGAGTCTATTGTTGGGTTTTATTCAAAAAATCCGGTTTTACAAACAATAAAATGGCAACAGAAGCTTTAATTTTTTTGAATAAAACCATAACTACTTTACCCACCAAGGATCATTTTGCAAGACTTAGAAATATTAAAACAACCATAGAAAGAAAGTGCTACAACCTTTGAAGATTTTGATTCTCATGATTGGAAGTTGACGAAGTATGAAATGAAACTTCAAGGTAAAAGTTCTCTAGAGATATCCACCAACAATAAATCAACTTGATAAGATGCTAGTCTTCTTCATGTAATAAAAGTATCTCTTAGGCTCTTAAGGCAAATAACTAGTTTCTCTTCAAAGAGAGTATTCAAGTATCATAATCATATTTATGTTCTTAACACTTTAAGGGACAAAAACTAGAGAGAATATGGAGATAGAAAGCACAAAATTTCGTGGCTTTTAGCTAGTAAAAGAAGAAATACATGCAAGCCTTTAATAATCTTAATACATGTCCTTACCCATTGAGTCTTGATGTTTTAACACACAATGCATCTAGAAAAAATAGGCTACAAGTGTAAGAACATGGCTCTATGATTAAATAAATGCAAGAATGTATTCTTTTCCCTTTATTGTCTCCTTGAATATTTTATAAAAAGAAGAAGCTAGTTTTTCTATAAAAACTCTTCTAATTTTTATAACTTATAAAACATATAAATCCATATAAGACAAAAACCCCTTTTGGTCCAAAAAGATATACATGACATATTAAACCATACCTTATGATATATTTTGATACTTAACATTGAAAATTAATATTCCCATGAAATAAATAATTTCCAATTAATTGCAATACATACATATATATATATATATATATATATATATATATATATATCAAGAATCAAATTCTTATAAATAATATATTTTCATAAGGTTGTTATTAGTGTGACCCTATAGGATCATATGTTATTAGCAATATCATTATATAATGGCTCGCGGTCATATAAGATCTTTCATCTATAACGTAGAGGATTTTGTTACTAAAATCAAGCTAGAGTTTATGTCATCAATTGAGGTTCAACAGTTGGCTCGAGAGTATCTGGCACTTGAGAAGACTACAAAGACAGTGGCTGAGATCACCGCCAAGTTCAAAGAGAGAGAGAGAGAGAGAGAGAGGAAGAGAGAGAGAACGTTACTTTTCCCTCAATATGTGATGAAGGAGAGGATGAGGATTAGTTACTACCATGAGATGTTGAGGAAAGAGATCTAGGTGCTTGTGAACATTTCTAGTTTTGAGTCTCTTTTTGAATTAGTGGAGGCAGCTAGGGAAAGAGAATTGGAGTTAGAGATCCAACAATGAAATATCAGGCATCAAGAGGACCAGGGTGGATAATGTTCGGTGTGGAGATCATGGGATTCGTGGATTTTATGACAAGTGTGGTTTGGCACATTGGGGTATTTATCGTGCACTAGTTTTTGGGTGTTTCAGATACGGTCATGAGGGTTACCACAGTCAGGAAAATAGTTAGAGGGAGTCGAGGATATATTTCTTTTGTAGCCCGCGAGGCCATATTAAGATTAATTATCCACAGAGAGCATATGTGATGGTTTTGGATCCAACACTGTTGACTTGGCATTTATTGGATGGACGAAACGAGACAAGTGGAGTCCCAGGGGCCAGGTGTATCGACCGTGTTTTAAGTGCTAGAAGCGAAAAGCTGCCCAAGTTTCAAATCATCACTTTAACAAGTGAGTACATAGTAACTTCGACTTATACATAGATATGAAGTATCTAGATGATTATATGCTAAATGTGCCTATTATCTATGCTTCCTGATATCTATGCTAGATGAAATATTATAACATGGTTTTATTTATTCGTGTGTGTGTGTGTGTGTATATAGGGTAGAAAAGGTATGATAATGATGAAATACATGAGATGGAATGATGATAGGATGTGAGGCTTCACTTTATAGATGATCTATTTGTTTAGCGGAGTATAGATGAAGACCACAGACTGTTCTAGATAGTCGAGTGAACACTAGCAGGCTCGAAACCTGTAGGTGTTTTGAACTATGTGTTCACTAAAGATATATTCCATCCCCCATGGTTTCCTTGTTGACATATATTGCTAAGGAATGCACGAAGCGATATTGTCTACCATGATACTTAAAATGATCCTTAAGATAGGTCCCTCGAGACTAGTATTTAGGGCTATAATTTGAGGATTACGGGAATCAGTATGTGGGTTTAGTTGTTTGATGAAAAGAATATAATTAAGGAATTTAATTATTGTGGGTTGAAACCCTATGTGGTCACAAGACTTTACAAAGTATGACCTACTCAGTTTCCTTGTATCACAAGTTGCAGTATGAAAGCACATGAGGGTTGAGATGATTTTGATGAGACGATAATGGAATATAGGCCAAAACGTTAATGTACTATTGTAAGGCATGTAATTATTCTCTTATGCTTATGTAGTGTATCGACAATGACATCCCAAGTTTTTTAATATAAATAAAGTACATCTCTTTGGAAATGTTTTGATAATATCGTTATCATATTGTTGGGAACAAATTCCACATTTTAAATTATTTAAAAAGGATACTCTGACTTTTAATAAGAATAAATAAATCGGCCTTTTCTGGTCATGAAATTGGGGATGTCACAATTGGTATCGTCTTAAGCAAACTAGGAATATTTGAGTATTTTTAGATTTAACTTAGAATGTTATGCGATGACTGTAAGATGAGTCTCTGCTATATTTTAGGCAGTATGCCTAAAATGACACGTGCACTAGCTTATTGTAGGAATGATGCCTAAATTACTTGTATATGCTAAATGATTTATGTTAAAGCATTCTATAACTATATGATACCTTTAGATGCCTTAGGATACCTTCCTAGGATGCTATTATTTGTATAAATCAATGGTCTATTGCCAACCTAGACTTAGAAAATTTTATGTATTCAGGATTCTAAATGTTTAAATTATGGTATTAGAACTGCCATATAACTTTTTGAAGTGATAAGGAGAATATATGTCTAAACCTTCCCTTTCCACATTCTCATCTCGGTATAATGAACTTCTTCTTTGGTGTATAAATCATCATGGTGAGAACTCAGAGTGGATTAGGTAATAATAAGGGTGATCAACAGCCCGAGCCTCGTATGACAGGACACACACATGAAATCGTACCAGTAGCTGAACCCATTACAATGGCATAAGTTCAAAAAATGATTCAGGTTATGATCGCCGAACAAAGGGAGGAGATGAGAAAAATGGTGCGTGATAATAGGGAACCTATTGTACCTATTGTACAACCTAAGTTAAAGGAGGAACAGTCTAAGGAGGGAAACAATGATCAGACTGTTAGCCAAGTTGAGCCAAGAGTGGTTAGAATGAACCAAACAAATAAAATAGATGATGGACATGGGTGCAAGTATAAAGATTCTGATGGCATCCAAGGCACCAAGTCTTTCTGGAAGATCAAACCGGTAGAAGTCATGGATTGGATCTCTAAGATGGAGATTGTATTTGATGATTGCAACTATAGCAACAAGCAGAAGACCATTCTCACGATTATACAGTGGAAGAATCGGGTATTAAAATGGTGGAAGTTACTAGTTGATACCATGCCCAAGGGAGAAGCTAGAAAGATTTCATGGGAAGACTTTCTAGACTAAAAATACAGTATTGCTCGAAGCAAGATCTTCTGGAAATCAACAACGAGTTCTAAAATCTAAAGAAGGGAAAAATGAGCATCAATAAATATGTTGCAAGTTTTACAGAGAAAATAAAGCTTGTTCATTATTTAGTTCCAATAGAACTCTTCAAAGTCAACAAGTTTGCAAATGGATTGCCAGCGGAATTTGGTCCAATGGTCAAACAAGAAACTACTTTGAAAGCCACCATCTAGGCAGTTAAGAATGTTGAGACCCAGTTAAGAGAGAAGGGTATGGCAAGAGAGCTGACGTAGGAGAAAAGAGAAAGCTTGAAGGATCTTCAAGATCCAACAAGAAAAGAAGATTCTCAAGGTATGGTTCCAAGAAGTTTGGAGGAGGACGATGTGAAGCAAAATGGTGTGAGAAGTGTAAAAAGAAGCACTCTTGGAAATGTAGTGAGGAGGTGACTTGTTACAAGTGTGGATGGATGGGTCACTATATCAATGAGTGTACATCCAACAAGAAGGTGAGTTATGGATGCGGTGAAGAGGGGCATATTGCAAAGGACTGCATAAAGAACAAAGAGGCTGCAAAACCTAATGTGCTACCAAGGATAAAGGCGAGAGCATTCCATATGACTCTGGAAGTGGAAAAGGAGGAAGCATATGTCACTTTAGGTACCTTTCTAGTAAATAACTTTCCCGCCAATATTTTTTTGATTTCGGAGTTAACTACTTATTTATTTCATATAAATTTGGTAGCAGACTAGCCTTGTTTGTGGATAGACTAGATAATGCTCTTATAGTAGAGGTAGCTAGTGGAAAATTCTTACCTATTAGTGATTGCATTACAAATATCATCATTGACATTAATGGGAATAATTTCCATGTGGAATTATTTCCCATTAAGTTAAACAACTTCGAGATGGTATTAGGAATGTATTGGTTAGGTTTGAACGATGTTGAGATACTATGTAGAAAGAAGATGGTGAGAGTAAATCCACCTGGAAAAGAGTTATTTATGGTGAATGGGGACAAACATATAGTAAATTCTGGAATCAACTCCCTGATGAAATCCAGGAAGTGTTTATCCAAAGGTTGTACGTCATACTTGGCATTTGTGATCAACGTAAAGAAGGAGAAAAAAGGAGATGCAAAGAATACCAATGGTGTGTGACTATCCATAAATCTTTCCCAAATATCTTCCTGGATTTCCCCCTGATACACAAGTAGAGTTTAGGATAGACTTGTTACGAGGTGCCGC